AAATATGAAAGCGTAACGCTTCTAGCGAACCCTTGGAATATAGGGGTGGCACCCCAGCCTACGTCTAGTCCCCCTATGATGGAAAGCGGAATTAAATCGTGCAATTCCATCGGACATACTCCGTGATATATCCTGTAGGTTAAGGATTGTACTATGGGGTGCATATTTGACCGAAGTCTTGTAGTAACTCACGGCAATCGTCCATTGAAGGTGTTAGCGGGATAACTGCCCAGTATTCCGTTGCCGCTGTTGCGCCTGCGCCATTCTCGTTTCTCCCCGCGCATGTTTAGACGAGCCACCTGAATTACAGTACAGAAGCCATTTATTATACAAAGTGTCATGAACATGCAAATATTAGAAATTAGATTGAAGTTGCACGACTTGTTCGTCTGTTCTGTCTGTGTGTTCGTAACGACGTTTAATGAAGTTAAGCCAATTTGATCCTTAATTACATTACATAAATACAATTTCAACCAAAAAGTTGGAATTCCTTTTTTGCACTTTTCTGTTGAATACATCAGAAGACTTTCAGAACCAAAAGGTCGGTTACGGGGGTCAGGTATCTTAGAGAATGAATTGTACATGGCAAGCTTTACAGTGTATGCCATCGATGCGATTGTATATATTTATTACAAGCCCTGGCGTTCGTGACTATGTGTTTTAGTCGACTTCAAAAAAGGAGGAGATTTTCAATTCGACTATCCAGTTTTTTTGTGTGTATGTTATTGTTTCATATTATTATATAAGTAACGCTCCGATCGCGTTGGCACTTTGATGTTTAATTGTTGTAACAACATTGTCGATTTTAAACAACATATTCGGTCTTTAAGAGGAGCTAAATGAAAGTGCTGACAAATAAATTTGCCTGAACCTACTCGAGGATCCCCTTCAAACGACGTGAAAGAACATTTCTTCAACCCCTAAGTCAGGTTTTTTCCTCTCTATTCTCTACATTTATTTTATGTTTGTATAGTGTTGTAACCTTCCTATGTTTATTTTTAATCATTGACTTAAAAATCAATGGACGACGGGTCTAATACAAAAACCACGAAAAAAATGTCCCAAGTCAACCTATTTAAACGTAGTGACATGTAAAGGAATATGAAAAAGCTAAAACGTTGAATTCAAATTGTAATGTCATCGCAGTACTGTCTAATTTTGCTTGCTTCGCTGTCAGTCGAACAAACGAAGACTAAAGCGTGAATGACGCTCTGTATACGATTTTAACGCCCTATAAGTTCGGACACTTTTTAGCGCGGACCCGACGTCCATATAATTGTAAGTCAATGAATTTAATCATTATTTTATGTTTAACCGTATTCAAGAAAAGGAGAAAGTTATAAAAACGACTGATTTTTTTTGTGTGTGTACGTCACGCGATTCTCCGGCATTTATGAACCGATTTCGAGGATTATTTTTTGTTGGAAAGAGGATCGAAAAACAAAATGGCCGCCATTCAAATTTCGGGGGGCCGGTATCTCTTAAACTATTGAAGATAGGTAGATCGTGTTCTGTAATATTGTAGAGGGGGACAGGATCTAACTGGCTGTCAAAATTATTTTTTTAAATGGCCGATTCAAGATGGCGGCTCGACAAAAAGGTGCTCCGATCTAGCTGAAATTTAACATATTTTCTTTCATATCCGGGTAACAGTAATCAGAATTTGCAGTCAAACTCTTAATTCCGCCATTTTTCAATATGGCCGCCATACGTTTTCTACCGTTCACTATGCTCCGAGGCTTACATCTCGGCGAGTATTGGAGATAAATGAGAAACGCTCAAACAAATGAAGCACGTTATATTACGAACAAACTGTAGTTAACGTTAAAAAACATAAAAATGTTATACTTATTGTAAATAATGTACGATAATAATATAAATAGCTGTATATACCTGATGTTGTATCTCCTGTATTCTGGCAGTGACGACCTCGCTCGAGTGTTGTCGTAGCTGTTGTTGTGTAGCAGACTGGCCGGCGTCGTGTCGCGTGTCGTCGTAAGGCACTTTCTTGTCGTCCGGTGGCGTTTGCATAGGCGTATTGCGCGATGACCCTGCAACATAGAAAATAAAGTCTTGAAATAGATAGACGATATCAAGAGACGGGACCAACAAGTCGTACGCCTGGATAACAATTCTACAATTTTTTTTTGTAACCACTGGTCATTGTAATTGAGGCTCCACTGAGACTATAATCCAATTATGATAATATTTTGTTAGGGAGTCACCAAACTTATTAACGCGGATTCGTCTTGATGCGAGCGTGATTACCCACACTTGTCGCATTAAGCCGATTCGTTGTTTCTAAACCAGGATCAGCTGTCGTCGGCATGCGTACGGACGCGATCGGAAGTTCGTTGAAAGCAGATTCGTTGCCAATCTTCATCGAGTATATACCAGAAATAAACTCATCAGGTTAATGGGTCCTATATCACTTTTAAATATTAACTCTCGTTTGCGCTGAAATCACAAATTAGTGGTAGCCAACAACTGAATGGGGGCTGTTCCATTCGGTGGCATGGGAAAAACAGCAAATTATCTAATTACAAAACAAACGGAATCACATTTCATCGGTAATTAAATATATTAATTTTGCTCAACTGGTCGATTTGAAGTAAAATAATTGACGACACCCGTCAATTGTTTCGAATTCGGGCTGGCATTAGAGCGCACTTGTCTCCGTAATTATTTGATAGTTTTCAAACAAATTGTATGACATGTCGTCTCTTATTTCTGGTTATATACTCGATGAACTAATGTGACGTTTCAGTGCTTTTACAGGTGAGAAAAGATAACGTAATATAATGTCCACGTTATTCTTTACTTTAGCTAAATGAAGTCCCTAAAATCCGATCACTGATTATCACATAGACAAGTCCACGAAAGTTGAAGCTGTTGTCGTAATCAAAATCGATCGGAAGCATATCTTACCGGATATTGAGTTCCGTTTGGGTGGTCGTTGGTTGTTAACCGGCTGCTTGTTGTCCAATACAGGATACACCGGCTGCACGACCGGGTACGGTTGTGGGATCATCTGGAAATGTAAAACACATTACAGGTAACTCTTCAAGGTGAGATTGACACTGAATTTAGTAGCTCGATGATAATTCTTTGAGGATAGCGGTAGCATTACGTTTGGGAAGCAAGGTGTACGAG